ACTCCAGCCAGGCTGCACTGAACTTGTTCTGTTTATATTGTCAAATTACAAATCCATTTTCTACCAGTTAGGTGAAGTTAAATAAGCAAAACGATCTGTTAAATACCTCTAACAAGTGTGCTGCTATTCAAACAAAAAAATAAAAACCTGGCCAAGGCTTTTGAAAAACACTGCCTGCTTCTCATGAAAAGTTACTATGAGACTTCCAGTACAAAACTCAAAGTGTTCTCATTTTTAAGTTTCAAATTCTCAACTTAAATTTAGCATCAAGTTCCTCAGTAGGCAGGTCCTTTCAGAAGTAATACTGAATACTGAATTTACCTTGCAACAAACTTTAAAACAATCACACAAGCAGCTCTTTACATATATGACACCCTCTGCATTTCCTGTGATTGCAGAATTTAGATGTGTACATAAATCTGATAACAGATTCTTTGCTCTCCAGAAAGTTCTGTCTTTCCTTTTAACATGCTCCATGGAACAAGCTCTTCTTGAAGTAATTTTGCCTCATTAAATTTCGATTAATTTCCTTTTTAACTGTTGCTGAGTCATTCTCACCTATGCCTGATGCTGTTTGCAAATCTTCTACTCTTTCAAAGAGACCAAGTGAGCACCTTAACACTCTGTATTTATATACACACACACCACCCCTTTTGATAAAAAAGATAATCTTTGTAACACTCTGTGTTAAGTGGCACATTTTATTTCCTTGCCATATTAAAGATAAGAGCTTCTTGCATACTGCCTGCTCAAATTACATGGATTTTCTTTAAGATTAGGGCACACATTGTAACAGCAGCATATAATTTTCCTGCACAATAATTTTTTTCCAGTTGAAAGGTATCCTATAATATCATCAGCATCAACAGGAACAGACACCTGATTTTCAGCTAGACAAAGCTTATGTGTTTGGTGACTTTACTCCTGGTGAAGAGCAGTTTTCTGATATAAAGCAGCTACATAAAAATTCAAGAATAAACTCACAACATATTCTTTGACCACAAAGTTCTAGACCAGAAGCAAATGCAAAAATTGTGCCAAAACTGAGATGGGAGGGGGGGTGGGTGTCCCCTGAATGTTCTATTTCTATTGCTCCAATTTGATCATTATTGATTTTATACACATTTAGAAATGGAACATAAGCACTGTCCTTCCCAAAAGCTGAATGGATTCTTTAAGAAGCCAAGCATACAGCACAAAACCCATTTAAGAAATCACCTTGTCAAAACCACCATGTAACTGTGGATAAAAGGCTGTGTCTACCCCAAATATCTCAAAGCCACCAGCATGCTCCAAAGACAGAAGGTTACAGATATATTCCTACCATTTCAACACGAGGTTGATTGTCAGAATTTGCTGGATTCCTTCAGAGTACAGAAACTACAAGTCTTGTGTGCCTCAGAAAACACTTTAGCAGGAGTCTGCAAGAGCCACACAAGGAATTCTGCACTGAGCTATGCTGGTTTCAAAGCACTCTTTTCCATTTTTTCTCCTTTCAGAATTTCTGGAGCTTTGTGCCAGAGTATGAGCCTGCATACAAAGAAGTTTTATTTTAATTTCAAAATAAGCTTTTTATAGAATTGACAATGGCACATGCACTTTGTGCCCCAAAGTCTGTCATCTTCAACTGCTACTGATTCTTAGAGTATCAAGATGATCCAAGTATCAGAGTCACTTAAGTACACAAGAATTATCAAAAAAAAAATTAGGTCTCAAGGAAATTTTGTAAGATGCTTAATTGGAAGGTGTGGCAGGAAAAAAAATCCCGAGTTTTAGTCCAATTCATTTTCTGTATCAAATGAATATTATTCTTAGGGAGTGAACTGTTATTATCTATTGTAAAATAATTCACTTGCATACATATTGTGACCTGACCAAATGAAAAAATTAAGAGCAGTAAAGAAAAATATATTCACTCTAGTAGTGTATCTATGTACAGCTTTGCTCTGGCTTATTAACCTTTTCCATCCTCAATTTGTCAGAATTAATAAAAAGGGGTCTGGTTTTTAAAATTCATCAGTTTTAAGGGAATTTGCCCTGATTAAGTCATTCTTACAAAGCTACAATTCAATCACTTTTGAGTACTATTTTGCATTATTAAGGTTAATCCTGAGATTTAACTGCAAATATAGTTAATATAGTTATCTTTTGGATGACATATGGCAAAATCTCCAACTCTTTTTAGCTTTGGAAATTTTACATCTGCCTGCTCCTTCAAGATGCTAAGCATACATGTGTTGACAAATACAGAAGATAGCAGATGGCAAAAAGCAAATGCTCAACAAGAAGCATTGAGGATCACTTGAAAAAGACCTGGACTCAGAGATTTGCTGGTTTTATTTTAACAGCAGAATTATGTTTAAAAATAAATTCCACCACCTATTCTGCTTGATTTTAAGGAACACGTGTGATCAGAACATTCATGATTACAGAATCAGAGTCATATTAACTGCTGCTGGTTTCCAACATGCAAGGTGCTTTACAAACCTTTGGACTTCAAAGCTATTAGCACAGCATCACTCTCCAGGAGATTAACTGAGGCAGCTATATAAAAACTGGAAAACGTGCTGCACTGGCCATAAAATTTGACATGAAATCTTCTAAGAAGCAATGCATGGCTGTGTTCATCTGCTATTCCAGCTCCTACAAAGCTGCACGGAGCTGCAAGCAGCCCTGTCCCCTGCCCTTGGCAATGGCAGTGCCACTTGCAGCACCCCCATCTCCAGGAACAGTGTCAGGGGAGCACTCGGGCACTCAGAGCTGAGAAATGACCACAGGCTGCAAGGACCAGCCTGCAGAGCAGGGACACAAAGGGTCCATCCACTGCTGGGCTTACTAACAATGAACAGTGCAGCAGCACCAGGACAAACATTCCCCTAATACACCCAACCTTCAGAAATGTACAGCTCAGGAATCCCTGAGTCAGAGAGAACATTTCTGGGTTAACATGCCATGGCACACCTTTCAGGAAACTCTTGGAGTTTTTCCAACCATGGACCCTCTCTACTTAACAGCTGAAGCACTTTCCTACTGTACCTAAGGGAAGATATGTGCTGTGCCCTCCAGTCTCTCCCACAGCCCATGGGGGTGTAAAGGGCATAAAAACCATGGTGGTCTCATTAGCATCATGCCTTAAAGACCCCAGAGTGAGTGTGCTAGATGCTGCACCAGGAAGGAGAGCATCAAGCAGAGTGTGTAACAGTTCAGCTAAAAGAAAAAGATGAGCAGAGGCAGGACATATGATAACAACAGCAGACAAGCAGCACATCTGCCTTGGGAAACACCTGTAAGTAAATATCTTTTTAGTCAGAGGGATCCATCACAGACACGAAAAGAAAAACAAAAAAAGTATCTTCATTTTCTCTAACATTTCTCACTGACTTTTCAAATAAAGAGCAGTAACCAATCAGGCTGGGAATATACAGGTGCTAAAGAATTGTTTGTATATTCAAACAATACTTTAATCTTCTGAAACTACAGTTAGAGATGTAGACACACAGTTGTAAACTTTGATAATTCTCACTTCATACACCCCAAAATAATGACATGAAATTACATCCAAGTACAGCTCCATAACACAATTTTTAAAACTCCATATAAGAAAGGGACTGTGTAAGTTTCACTTCTGTAACAGCTCTGAATAACACTTATAATTTTAATTCCATTATGATACATCAATTCACAGGAAAATAAATATATTAATTCCATTACAGTACTCAGTTTAAATTATGTCCCTCTCTGGGCAAAAGAGATATTTTACACCATGGACCCCTGACCACCTTCATTAAGAACAAACAGACCTTTATTAATCTTTTACTCACATTTCACCAGCAATTCAATAGAATAAAACCAGAGGAAGTCCAAGAAAACAATGATTTCTATTCAAAATGTAACTAAGAAACTTGGTTTCCAAAGCCTTCTCCTTTGTTGGAATAATCAAAGTTTAACACTGAGAACCAAAGGATTTATGTCCAGAATCTGCACACAAACATCTTGCCAGGTATAGAACTTAAGACTAAATTCACCATTCAGTTTCAGGCAAAGAAATAAGTTCACAGGAGGCACTGAGAAGGAGGAGATGTACAGCAGGGGTTGTCTAACAAATTCAGCTTAAGAATACCAAGATGTGTAAACCTGGAACACACTGGTGAAATGACCAAACTTTAAAACTGTTTTTATAGTGGTTAGAAAAAAAATTAACAACCTCCTCCACCAAATCCATGAATTTACTTCAACTCTGACAATTAAACTCAGTCTCCTGGTCACTGGCATTCTCTTCTTCTCACTTAAAAATCCCAACTTCTTTTCACATTCATTTTAACACCTCAAAACACCTCAGATCTGCCATGCACAGATCTGCCAATATTGACAGCCTAGCTAGCAGCTTCCTACAGAAAAAGCAGTTTTTCCCTACAAAAATTGAGTTCTGCTCACCTTTCTTCTTCTCTACCAAGTCACCAGCTTTCAAGAATCAGGAATTTAGTTACCTTGGGAATTCTTTCTATCAAATTCAGCTGATAAGAGTCAACAGTATCCAAAAAGACACTGCTTTCCTCAGAAACCCAAGCCAAAGCACTTTCTGAGCAAAATGCCTGAATTCAAGGGAGGGTGTAAAACAGAATAACCAAGAATCACACAGAATAATCTGGCAAAGCTCTGAGATTCTTATGCATAATAGCAGCAGTATAGAAAAAATTAGGGGAAATTCACAGAATGTGAAGTCTTGATGCATGACCAAGAATACAACTCCACAAGAAATCACCAGAAACCTAACTGTAAGATCAACATATTTTCCTCCTATTCATTTTTTTATTTCATTACTACTGATTATTAGGAAATAAACTTCCTTTTGTTCTTTGCATCTGGTCTTTGTGTACTCAAGGGCTGCATCTGATCAATCACATGGATACAAAAACTGTAAAAAACAAACCCTGCAAATATTACCATATTGGTTTATAAAAATGACTTTGGTATATCTTAAATATCAGATCCAGCCTTACCAACAAAGCAAGTTTTTGGTATTTCCGTTTCAGTTCTGCTGGGCTGTCTGATGGTTTGGCCCCCAGCACCTTGTACCAGTCCTTCTGGTTTATCCTTTCAAAGGCCATGGCCTGAGTGGCTTTGAAATCACTTCCTTAGAACTGTGTAAGAAAACCAAATAAATGAAATCACAACTTGAAAGAGAAACAGAAAATGCAAAAACAAGGATGTGGTGAACTACAGGATCACAGAACTGACTGCTGCCCTCAAGCACCTCTACACCATTATGAGAACTATTGTGTAAAAAAGTTAAATTCATGTGGCCATTCCATCCCAGGGATTGTCAAATGGGAACTCCTGTGTTTCCTGTCCAAGTGCCTCAGCATATCCTGTTCAGAAGCCATCCATACTTCTTTAAAAATCATTTTGTATGTAAAATGAACTGTTTAGAAATGCCCCAGGTTACAGATACACCTTTTACACAGGCACATTTTAAAATAAACTTTTGACTTTGAAGCAATACTGTACTAAACACATGAAAACATGAGGTACATAAAAGTGTGACTTTTTCAAATTGGGAATAAGATCTGTGCAAGAAGACACAAAAAAAGGCATGTGATTCTTTTTATAAAATGACATTTTCAGAGCATGGGAACTCCTTCATCCTGCTGAATAAGATGTCAACTTTCTTAAACAGGAGAGCATGTAGAAACAAGTAAACAAAAATGAACCAAAACATACAAAGTCAGCACAAGTCACTAAGTAAAACCCAACTAGTAGAGTGGGTTTCAATTTTGGCCACCTTTCATCAAGTAATGACCCAGAAAGGAAAAAGAAAAAACCAGGAGAACTAAGTGCCAGTAATAGAACGGCAATGCTTGAGCTTCACGCAGATTTTTGGTGTGCTGGAAACCCAAGCTGAGAGCAGCTGATTTACTATGAGCTTCCAGACAAGAGAAAACACTGTCAGCAGGCAAGAGCTTTATAGCTGTAAATTAATTGTGAAACAAACAAAAATATATATATATTTGGGGTTGTTTTGTTGGTTTCTTTTCTTTTCCTCATTCAGCACTAAAACTACTTCCTGGTGACTAACGCCTCACTTGAGAATCAACCTTTCTTTCACGGGGGAAGAAAAGTGTGTGTTTCAATCCGGGCAGAGCTACGAGCAGCCCGCGGGACACACACACAGCAGGGGAAAGCCCCAGGGACCCGTCCTGCCCATCCCCGGCCCCGCGACATCCCCTCCGACAGCGCTCCCGGCACCCCCAGGGCACTGCCGGGGAGCCGGGCCCAGGCCCTGCCGGAGCGCCCCGCCGCCCTTCCCGCAGCTCCCCAGTCCCGCCGGTGCCCCTCGGTCCCCGCGGCCCGGCCTGCCCGGCCCCACTGCGCTATCCCGGCTCCCCTGCGCTCTCCCGGCCCCACTGCGCTATCCCGGCTCTCTGCGCTCTCCCGGCTCTCTGCGCTCTCCCGGCCCCCCTGCGCTCTCCCGGCCGCTCCGCTCACCCACCTGCTCCGCTCCGTCCATGGCAGCGCCACGCCTAATTCGTCCGGCGGGAAACATCCTCCTCTCCCCCGCGGGGCTTTAGTCCCTTTAGTTCGGCGGGGGCCGCAGCGCGCTGTTTCCAGCCGGGCAGTAGTGGCGCCGTACCGGCAGGAAGCGCGGCCCGGCCAGGCCCGACGCGTCCCCATGGCGACCGCGGCTCCCCCGGCGCTGCTCCGCTCCGCGCCCGCCCCTGCGCTCCTGTACCGGGGCTTCGGTGCGAGAAGGCGCCGCTGCCCGGCCCGACCCGACCCGACCCGACCCGGCCCGGCCCGGCCCGGCCCGGCATGGCCCGGCCCGGCCTGGCCCGCTTCCCCTCGCTCGCTGCACGGCAGCCCGGGCCGCCCCACAGCCGCTCTCCCCGCACGGACTCCGCCTCCCGCGGCGCCGCCGCTGCCATTGCCCGGCCCCGCAGGCGGAGCTCGGCAGCTCGGGCTCCGGCCTTGGCCGCGGAAGAGTGCGGTGGTTGCTTTCTAGGGAATACTTGTGCTAAATGGCAAGGAAGAACATCCTCTTGGCAAAAAATATTAAGCTCTGGAAGCAGGTTTTTAATGTAAAGACGTTTCCTCATTATAAACAAACAAGAAACCACAAAATCCCCTTACACCCCCACCCCGCTCCCAAAAATACAGAAATAACACAAAACCCGACGACCACCACCGAAAGGAAAAAAACCTTAGTAGCTGGATGCTGTAGACTTTAGCTCTTGGAATCTTGGGCAAGCCTAGTTAGCAAGGCGCCTAAATATTACTCCAGGCAAACTCAGTTCACACTACACTTCTAAATGTACAGCATATATACTGTGAAAATATTTTTATGTGATAAGTTAGGATTAAAGCAACTTCTTGTCATTTTTCTTACCCTTTAAGCTGGTTCAGTAGAGCAGCAGTCAGGCTGTACAGACACTGTGAGGAAGAACTGGGAATGTTCCTGGCATATTGTTCCCATTAAACACCAGTGGAGGAACAGAGTGGGACAGCTGGGGTTCAGTGATAAACACAGAGAATTTATTTATAGTTCAACGGTGGGAAAACATCACATCTGCAAAACCACTCAACGCTTGATTAGTCTGATTTTTGTCTGTGCTGGTTGTCAGTGTCCCTTTTGAAATCAGAATTTTCCTCTCAGGGAAAGGTTTCAGTATGGTTCTGTGTGTCACCTCTGTCACTGTAGCTGGTGTGTGAGCAGGGGGGGAAATTGAAGAAAAGTTTTTTGAAACTGTTGATGGCCTGGAGATTGGTCACTAGGCCTGTGCTTTCACCAAAAATGGTTAATACCCTCCTAAAGATTGGATACAATATACATTGTTTATCCTTTATGTCAAAAATTCCTAAGTGTTGCATATTGAGTTATTTTTCAGTTTTAAATTGTGATGGGATTGGTACCAGCTCATACAGTACTTTAAACACAGAACTGTTGGAGAGATTGTGAGCAATTGTATATTTGTAATGAGTTGTTAAATAGAAAATTAGCTGTATGCGTTAAGGAATTATTTCTGGAGTCAGTGGAACAATTTTGGAAGTGAAACACTTGTTCTTTTCTGTGCATGCTCAGCATGCCAAAGTAAAAGAAAATAGGCTGTTTAAAATAGCAGTTTGCTGTTCATGCACCACTGGCCTTGTGTGGTGTCACAGGCTTTGTGTCTCAGTTGCCGAAGCTGTAATGTTATGTTTGGGTCAGTCATAGCTAATCATGCCCTGACTGGTTGTAAGGACTTGTGAAGCTGTTGGTCAGTCTCAAGACAATTTGATAATCTTTCATCTCTAGAGGTATAAAAATTAACTAAGTTCAAGCCTTGTGAAATGGGAATGGGTATGTAGGGGAGAGGGAGCAGGGAAAAAAATGAACACAAATGCTGTGGCTGGTGAGTCAGCACACAGATCAGTGTAGCCAGAATTTTGCTGCTTTTTTCCCATCTGAAGGAAAATAAAACCAAGAGTGACAGGAGAGTGTGGAGAACTTGCCATGACAGTCTAGGGGGAGTGGAGACAGACCAGGAAGTCATGGAGAAGATTTGGGACTGTTGTCCCAGAATGGAGACATGAGACACGTCTGTAAGAAACCAGGGTTGCTTAATTAACTTAAATGATGTGAGTGTGCATAGGTGCTGTGCATTTCACTGGAGCTGGGCACCTGAATATGGTAAAAAGCTTCCTTCTCTTGTTTAAGATACTTTAGATGTAAGTTGGTTGTTTCAGACATTTTTGTGAGAATATTTAGCTTTTTAGTAGATGCTTTTCTTGAGACTGTCACGTAACATTGGGCTGTGTTGTCATAGAATGATGGGAAAATTATTTAGAGACTTAACTGGATACTGTGTGAGCTTCTATTACTGCAAGAAAAGATGAGTACAAATGATGGATCAGCTGAAACATCCAGACTTCTCACTATTAACTACATTTTTTACTTCTGGATGGTATTTTGCAAAGTCTTGGTAAGATTAATAAAGCTTTTTTGCTTTTTTTTTTGTGTTTGTGTTGGTTTTATACTGCTACATAGAGAGTCCTAGAATGGTTGGGTTGGAAAGAACTTTAAAGATCATCCAGTTCCAGGCTCCTGCAATGAGCAGGGAACCTTCCACTATCCCAGATTCCTCAGTGCCCATCCAGCCTGGCCTTGGACACTTCCAGGGATGGAGCAGCCACAGCTTCTCTGAGTGACCTGGGCCAGTGCCTCAGCACCTTCACAGGGACAAATCTCTTCCTAATGTCTAATCTAAAGCTCTTTCAGCATCATAAATAAGCCCTGAATATTGACTGGGTTTTGATAAATTTAAGAGATTGAGCATGTTTAAGTCATGCAAAGATGAATATTTTGTCTTAAATAATTTTTGCAGTTATTGTCTTCATTTTTTTTTCAATGCTTTAATGTGACAGTTAATATCAGTAATTAATTAATAAGGCAAATAATAGTACAAGATTTCTTTGTGGGGTCTCACTGATATTTCTGGTGTGCTGTTTTCATCCTGGCTCTTCAGTCAGTACGGTGAGAGAAATTTTTTTCAATTGATTTTTTTCTCTCAGAGCTATAGTAGACAGCTGACTCAAGAGAGTGGTAGAAGTGAACATTCTGAGTTTTGTCCCTTGGGAACAATTGAAATAAAATAATTTGTTCGACTTTGAGCAATGTTGGACTTCTTTTTTAACCTATTAAATAGATTAATAGATATTAAAAATCCTTGGAATATATAGGATTATTTTAAAATTTTTAATGGATTTTTTTTCTTTTTTTTTTTTAAGAGAAAGAGGTCAGAGATCTGAATGTTGAGTTCTTCCAGAATTTGTTTAAATTGGAACAGATTTGTCAACAGTAAAAAGAAAAAGTTTTATCTCCCAGGAGATGTGCATATGATAGACTAAATGTCATAATGATGTGAACAAATGAGATGTAACATGTACGGAAAATATATGTTTTCCATTAAATTTCCACAGAAATGATTGAAAACGTCTTGGGAATTATTTAAGCAATTTACAATATTGTTTAAAAAGGTACATCTGGGCACACTGAGTACAGTCTTTTGTCGTTCATTAGCAATGTATTTAATGAGGGTTTTTTTAAGTGATAGATAGTTAAGGTAACAGACAAGTGACAGATTGTTTGTCTTTAACGATTTCCCTATTTCAGGCCCATTACAAAGCAATTAGAAATCTGACAGCATTTTTACTCTGCATTACTGATCATCTAAAGTGATGAGAAATGAGAGGTGATGAATATTAATTGTATATTTTCATATAATTATCATAAATTATTACCTTGTCTAGTGCACTGCAGGTGGAGTAAAATCAATGGATGAAAATTCAGTCAAATATGATAATTTGAAAGATTTCATGACTTAGTTTTTGTCTTTTAAAGCACAGTGTCAATCAGTCTAATCCAGGCATGCATTAGCTGAGGGAAATAAAAGATACTCTTACCTTTCCTTGCTTTGCTAGCACTGAGCAGCGTGGCTTTTACTCTTGTGCCCTGTGACAAATTATTTCTCTCTCTTTTTTAGCCTGCCAAATTTACCCTGGATTTTATCTCTTCCTCTCCAACTTTTTGCCAGAAGTATTTACACATTGTTTGAGCTTTGGGATATGCAACTCACTTATAATTTACTTCACTTATTTTTATAATGCATCTCCTTAATTTAGAATTAGTGGAAAAACTGTAAAAACAGGTCACAGATTCTCCAAATCAAGTATCTAGGCAGTGTGGCCAGTGTTTGTGTTTTTCCTGAGAAAATTTGGTTGAGATGAGTTATTAGATATCACTTTAGTCTTCTAAGACAAAGATGAGAATGATATACCCTTTAGCTGGGATGGCAGACCTTACCTATGAGACAATTCATTTTTTTCCTCATTTCCCTGCACGTTCTGACTCAGAGAAGTGAGCAAATTGGATGAACCATAAAAAGAAATTATTATGTTGCTAAGTCTAT